TTAGGAATTGTGTCCAGTGCTTCCCGCGTGGGTATTTTGGCTCCAGCAACTTTCACAGGAAGGAATTGCTAAGGAAGGAGCACAGAATTTGGAGTCTCATATTCTGTGAGAGTGCAAATTTCTCATGTGCAAAGTAATGTATGACAGGCAGACTGGAACAGATTTTATACCAAGAACAACAATATTGTAGGTACTTAATACATCACAAATTCTCTTGGCATGAGTAAACCAAGACTCTAACCCAGGCTCCACAAGCTCAGTATGCCAGGGCCTTTCCATGTCACCAGGAAAATTCTCCTGATACCTCCTGTTCTAGGGTCCCTCCACCATATCTGCCTAGGGATCCCCTTTCACTGAAGTCAGAATGTGACCTCCATCTAACCTACAAAGATGAAGGACTGACTGCTCTGTCTTAGAGTTTTTCTGTCACCCATGTTAATGGCCAGGCAGAGGTGACAGAAACAGCTACTATGGTGAATTGGCCAAGCATGGAGTATCCCCTCTCATCAGTGGGCAGGAATGTTGATCTCTCATTTCTAGATCCTCCCAGATAGAAGGTGACTACAGATGTTTTTTTTTTTTTTCAGTATGTAGAGATGTATTAAATTTTCCTAGGTGGATTTAATACAAAAAAGGTGAGTATCACACCTTCATCTGGCCTGGCCTTCAAGGAAGTGCAGTTCCAGTGGAATCCTGCACTGTTCCTTGTATACAGTGAGCATTCAGGCTTGTGACACCCTTTAGATGACACTTGGTGCCTCTGACCACTCAGATTTGCACAAGTCTTCCATTTTTACCGGGCTAGATGTTAACGAAAAAAAAAAAGAATAAATAATAAAAAAGGAAGGAACGAGGGAGGGAATGGAAGACAGAAGCAAGAAAGGAAGGACAAGGAAGGGAGGGAGGGATAGAGGAAGGGAGAGCAAGAAGAATGCTCTCCATATCAGACTAGGCATGAGAGGGAATCATTCACACACCAACAGCACTGAGAAATAGCATTTAGTCAGATTAAATAAAAGAGCAATCTCTCTGGCCCAATAAACCTCTAGCTTAGAGAGAATTGATTATTTTATTTCTTTCTCCCACTTGTTTTGAGAATTGGATAACTAATTTTGAAAAGTCATTTCAAATACAGAGGATGTAGAGCTGGAGGGAAAAGCATCAGCTATCAGCCCTCAGCCTCAGGCCAGATGAGTTGCTGCATACCTCTGAAGTGTTTACCCTGCTGTTTTCTAGATTTGATCTGTGTGTCCTTGATGGCATTGGGTGTATGAACCTGCTTGTGTACAGTTCAGAGTCTGCTCCTTCCTTCAGAATAAACCATAGCTATTCCTTGTCATCAGAAAAGTCAAGAAAAGACTACAGAACTTTAGTTTGCAGGTGAGACCATAGAGAAATCTCTGTGGACATGTGAGATCATGGGAGCACAAGTGGATCAGTTGCACCATGACACGCGAAGCTCTGCAAACACATGTTGCAGAAGTGTGCATTCTCTAGTCTGACCCATGGACTGCTCCTGTAAGATGCTCACACTGGAAAACATTAGTTGGTACGGGTGTCAGAACTTCCTCTCTTCATATATTGTAAATGTAAGGTTAGCTCAAAATTAAGTGCCTTAACAGTATATTTATAATGGATAATATTTGCCCCAATTTTTACAGTTGCTTCATGGGAAAGGACTGCAATATTATTGTCACAAGAGCTACTCTTTTTATGAACTTGTACAGCTCTAAAAACTTTCAGAACAACAGAATAAAAATGTTAAGCCAAAATTATTTTGCTAGGATTTGAAAGATGACAGTTTAGTGAGTGAAGGCATTTGCCACCAAGACTAACAGCCTGAGTTCATCCTCAGGACCACATGATGGAAGGAGAGAACTGACTCCTCCTCCACAATGTCCTCTGATTCTGTTTGCATGTCATGGCATATATCCATGAGCACACACAACCAATCAACAGATGAACAGTAAATAAATAGCAAATAAATAAACAGGTACATGAAAAATTCAAAAGGATTTTGTCTTTTACCAGTTAATATTTTTCTTCAGGTGATGTGTACCTTTCATAGTAAACAATTGTATAGAAGTCTGATAGATGGACAGGGTTGTGATTATTTTTTTAAATTACCTGTCTTAAAGGCTCAAAATTCAAGACCAAACCTATAGGAGACTTTATCGGTTTTCTTAAGGAGTTAAATAAACTGTACAGAAATAGTGACAATTCTTTGCACATGTTATCTGCTACAAATATTTTTTACCTGCAAGTGTTTAAGAAAGCATCTCAGTTGTATCAAGATGCATAACCTGACATCCATAAGAATTTTAATTTTAATTAAATGTTCATCCTATGATCCATGCTAATGAGTAAGTAAGTAGCATTAGTATGTTCAACATAGTTTATTTTCCTTAGTATGTCATACATTTTAACACTGGGAATACTATCTTTGTTTGTCTTAGTAGAACCATTTAAAACTTCCGCTCCATTGAATGAAAAAAAAAAACCTATAAAATGTTGCTGGAAGAATAGTGACTTAGAGAACGAGTAGGTGAATATTCAAAATTGTTGGGGTTCAGTGTTTAGGGCTCAGGACAGGGAGGTAACTTGAAGAAATTAAGTACATGTATATTCTAGGTTGTTGAAATTATTCTATATGACAAGATACTGGTAGGCATATTATGCTGACCTTGTCAAAACCCATCAACATTTATAGCAAAAAGGATGAAATGATGTAGGCAATTGTTAAGTTATGTAGGAGGCTCATTCAGCATTGTGAATTCTACCATGAGATACAGGCAGTAACAAAGTAATCCAGTAATAGTTCAAGTGTTTAAAATACAGTCACAGAGGATATGGTGGCTATGAGAATCTACCCTAATAGGCTGGGAGATGAGTGGAAACTATAGCCTATAGATCAGAGCAAGATGCAGAAGGACTGTGCTCTCATTGATAGATTGTATCAATAAAGTTACTCGTTACTAGTTCAGTTGTTGCATGTATGTAAAAATGCACATAATATAAACAAACTGAACAGTGAGTGGATGAAGTGTAGGTGTTAGGAGCCAGGTCGCATCTGTTGCAGTGGGCATGTATACACAAGCTGAGTGAAGGACTAGAATAAAACATACAGCAATAGATTCAGCTGGTAAGCACTAGGACAAATTCATTCTTAATCTAAGATCCACACAGTTGTTTGATGTCGAAATAGTTAGAGATATGTTTATGTAAGCACATGCTTACATGTTTATATTTACTTCTTTTCTCTGTCAGCAGAGAAGGCATGAAATAATGGCATCCTAGTTGAATGAATACAAATTTAGTCCCTAATAGGATTTTTCAATACATCAGACCTACTTAGAGGAATAAGTGAGCGTTGGAGATGGAGGAAGGAAAATGAAAAATGGGCTGAGTGCAGTCTGTGGTAATAAAAGATAAATAAATGCTTAACACACATACACATATGTGCATAAATATGTACACACATGTGTGCACACATGCAACACACAAAGACACACATGATCGAGTATCAAAAGAACACAAAAATCCGAGCGACGGTAACCTAATGGGCAAAGCAGAGTGATGAGGACCAAAGTAATAATAAATATAAAGGAAACTCAGTGATGGACTTTAAGGATTCACTAAAGAAATTAATGGTACTGAGAAAAGGGCAAATATCTTCTTAGTATTTATGAATGGCAGAATCATGAATAGTGGAACTTAATATTCTTCACTGGAAAATTAAAGGTGATCATTACTATGATTATAACCTGCCTCCATATAAAAATAATGCCATAGTAAGCAGGTTATATTTTTACATTTTCAAAGCCAGGTCCTTGTTCTGTCCTACTCCATAATACATTGTATTGTATTGTGTACTCCATAATAATTGTATTGTATATATACATATACAATGTGTGTATACATATGTATATATTATAATTTCATCATATTTGTTCTTTGACAATTTCATACACATGTATAAGCCTTCTTTTTCTTCATCCCTGCCCTGTCAGCATCTTCTTCCCTTGGGTTCATGTCTTTTTATTTTGTTTTATGCCCTGTTGAGTTCCACCAGGGATGGCTACATGGTCATAGCTATGGACCTACCCAATGAATCCTGGTGAGCCCACTAGCCCACACTTGTTCCTAGAAGCACAAACACAGTTACTGAATGAATGCTTAGTTTCAATGCCACCCAGTACTGAGGGATACCAGAGAGTCCCATCTCAAGAGGCCAGGATTATCCTGATGAAAGCTTCCTCCCAGATCTCTTTTGTCTGTCTGTAACAGTAGCTGTGAAAGTTGCCCTTGTCTCTGAGCTAGCTTTAGAAAAGAAGAGACCATCCAGCAGCAATGCTGCTGCTGATAGGATGTATATGGTCAATTCAGCTTCATTTCTATCTCATTTTTTGTGGAATGTGTGTTGTGTGTACATGGCCCTTTGAGATATGTGTGTGTGTACTTCTTGTGCCAAGGACCGTTGGATGGCAGGCACAGGACTAGATGAGGGTGGAATTTGCAGCTGGGCCATGTGCTCTGGATATCCACAGGGACTCCCAGGGTGTACATCAGGTTTTTGTTGTTGTTGTTGTTTTGTTTTTCTTTCTTTCATGTAAAAGAAAAGCAGCTTCTGTTTTATTCAGAGAGCCCACATGGAGTCTGCACAACACATGGTTCAAACCTACTTCCTTTACACTGAGCATGTGATGATGTGGCTGAACAGCCTCACATTTACAGAGGATTTCATGCATGACAAACTGCACTTTAATCAGCTTCTGTGACCTTATCCTGTTCCCTACCCTGCCCATCTGTCCCTTGGGACACAGGATCAAGGATTATGGGATGTCAGTCATATTTGTACGTTGAGAAAGTGAAGACTTATAAGAGGTCAATGCCAGCCCAGAGTTGGATAAGTACTAAGTAGATAAACATCTATACGACTCCACTGATGGCTTTATTGTCAGGGACAGGGCTCCTGTTACTAAGCATGGGACCTTACTCACCACGTGTCATTACATGGAAGCCCGGTTCAAGCATGACTGATAGGATCTTCAGGCTTTGAAGAGCTCCTTCTTCCATCTTTCTCAATGCTCCCTACTCTCTGAAGACACCATGAACACACTCCATGCCCTCCATTCACCGGGAATCTGTTTCTTCTTCATTGTAGTGCTGCCTGTGTGCTTCGAGCGCTCTACATGGTGCATGCAGCTTCTGTTTCAGCTCTTCTAAGGGTGCTGGGGTAGAACAAGGTTTGATACACAGGCATGAAGTAAGAAAGCACCTTTCAGAGGGAGCAGGGTGGGAAATAGATGGGAAACAATGAATAGAGATGTGTACAGATCACCTACCATGTGCCCAGCCTGGCCTCAGCCCTTTACAGTTATTCTATGGTAGTTCCTGAAATCTCTACTTTAGTTCCTAGGAAGGAACTAAAGAGAGTTAAGTCATTTCCTCCAATTCATTGAACCAGCGAATGTCAGAACTGAGATTTGAACCCACATTAAGCATTTCATTATTGGTGCTACCAATAGAGGATCCCGGGCAGATTAATAATTCTTTTGGGGCTCTAGATTCTTAACAATCCACACTCCATTGTCCTCACCTGAGAAGAGCAGAATGAAAATTTTCCAGTGAGCCTTCTATAGGCAGAGAATAGTCGTGTCTATTTTCATTGGCCTTCTACCCATTTTTTTTTTTAAATCAAGAACAACGGAATATTTTCCACTTGAGTATAAATAGATGTCTCAATTGTAAAGGTGCCTAGAGCTCGGAGTTACTTAACTTCCAGTTTAGGTATCCACCCTGCATTGCACAATTATCAAATGGGATATGGTGCAATTTTTTATAAAACAGACTAAGCAAAACAAGTATTGAGTAACTAGAATCTCTCTTTATCCTTGTATGTGCCTAGCAACCTTGCAGATCTGTTAGAGGAAAGAAAGGCTCTTGATAGTAGCTCAGAAAGATCTTCAAAGAGTAGGAATGCATGAGGCTTTGTGATGTTGCAATGGCTTGGGCAGGCTGAGATGAACAGACAATAGACTGCTAGAACTTCCACTGCATCTTCTGTTCTCTCTGGAGGTAGCAGCAGCTATTTGCTGCTGAGACAAGAGCCAAATAAATACCTCTGGCACATCCCTCTACTATTCTTCAAACAGCTGATCCTGCTAAAAGGGTGTGGATTGCTTTACTATGAGGATGTTTCTGCTGAATAAAATAACACAACATTACAGGCAGTTGGGAAAAAATTAAGAATTTCTGTCACCCTGTATCTTCTCTCCAACAGGCTGGTTTTGTTCTTGGCTGTTTCCTTCCAGTCTTTGTTTTCAGTGATAAGTGGTTTAACCTGTGGGACAAAACGAAGAAGGCACCATAGGCTGAGGGAGGTATCCTCTTTGATTAGAAACTAGATCTCTGAGTTACTTGCTGAGTTGATGTCTAAGGGGTTGGGGAGAGGGCTCAGCAGTCCAGAGCTTGTGTTACTCTTCCATCTGACCCAAGTTCGGTTCCCAGTCCCCTATAGGGCTGCTCACAACCTCCTGGATTCCAGTTCCAGAGAATCTGACGCCATTTCTGGACCCTCACAGCACCTGGGTACACTTATGCACACAAGTAAAATAGAAGCAAAATTTTAAAAGTTATTTGTATAAAAATCTTCCTAGATCAATCAACAGACTCCCTCCTACTTTACAATGAAGTGTGTAACCTACGACAGTTTGTGGACCTGTCTAAACTCTCCTGCACAGGTCCCACACTTGGGACTGAACTCCAGTCTTTATGTCATGGAATCCACTAGGTTTTTCTGTTATTGTCAATCCACTAGGTTTTTCTGTTATTGTCAATCCACTATGGTCTGCATTTGCCACCACATTGAAGCATCCTGCTTCATTGTGCTCATTTAAATTAATATTTTATATAAGTAGTTTAACCATCAGTAGACACGTTGCCATGTGCTCTGAAACACTAAAATTGGCAGCACATGTAAATTTCAGCTTACAAAAAAAAAATTCAAGGCTGTGGCTGTTTTCCTTAATCATTCTACATTTTGCTAGATATGAAATCTAATTCTGATCAGGGAGGACTTGATATCTCTGTGCCCTGGAAAATTCCAGAAGATTGTTTGTGTTTCATATTCTTAACTAGCACCCATTATCTTAGGGGGTTGGAGGGAACCCGTGCAGGCCTCCAATGTTTAATTCTCCACCCTCTTAAACATCCCCTGGTATGCCCTACTACCCTCCCAGGTCCTACTTATCTCTTCTGAGAGGTTACTCTGACTTTTGTGAAAAGCCTCCACAGGTCTGGCTTGATTCTGCAGCCATAGTTCTCAGAACAAGAAAATGGGAGCACAATCAGATGATTTGGTTATCAGGGTCATTGCAGCTGGGCTTCTCAGGACCAAGATTTCCTGTCAGATGGGCACAGCTGCTGCATTCCCAAGTAAGGTTTTCAGTGGACCAGAGGCCGTGGAGGTGGTGGCAGTTACTGTGGTGTGATTCTGAATGAGTGGCGGCTAGCATGATTATACGAGGGCCTCATGATCCCAGTGACCAGTGAGTGGATGCATGTGTGCCCATTGTGGTCCTTCAGAACGGAGCCAGCATGTGTGTCTATAATGTGAGTTTACTTCAAGGAATCGGTCACAGTGATTGTAGAGGCTTAGTGAGGCCCAGGCAGGTGAGGAGGCCAGCATGCAAAAAGCCAAGGGCATCTACAGCTGAAGTCTGAAGCAATCTGTTGATAAATCCTTTTGCTGGGAAAAGGGAGGTCAAGACTTTTTTCCTACTCTAACTATCTGAAATCTACTCACATACAGAAGGCCACCAGCTCTAGTCAAAGCTCAGTGATTTAATACAAATCCTACCCTAAACCATGTGACACAACCATTCTGAATAATTATCAGCAGCATATCTGAATGCCATGACCCAGACAGACTGACACAAAATCAACCATTATGACATTCTTGCTCAAGCAGGCACTGGAAACAAGTGACAGAGCCTGGCTATTTCTCCACTGCTTCTCCATGAAGTATTTTCACCCAGTTTCTAAACCTCCAGTTACTCTGAGACAGTCCAATGTCTAAACGACCAAGGGAAAGAAAAAAAGAGAAAAAGAATGACTACTTTTGCAACACAATGATTAATTTGTTTGAGAAACATTAACTGCCAGGCATTCATCTCCACGGATTCACAAGGTGACTAAACTTCTTTTTACTGTCTCAGATAACTGACTTTAGTATCACGGTAGAAAACAAACTAGTTCTAGATAGCTTATAATGTTGCTGCTTTAAGCTGTTATAATAGCAAAAGGTGTTAAGAGATGTTCATTCAGGGGTTCAATCGAATTGACTTTGTTCCTTTTCACCAGGGTGTTAGGCTGCTGGCTCCACTGGGAAGGATTATAGGAAGCAGCCACAAGAAATGTGCCCTGGTGTCAATAGATGCCTTGGATCAGTTGGGATGCCAATTGACACTGGCATTTAATCATGTCATTACTGCCCTTATGAAGACCTTGACTGAATGGTATTGATTCAGAAAATAAAATAGTTATATTTTTGCTCAGTCAATGGTTCCCTTTTTGCCTTAATGATACAGTTAATTTTGAAATATATATATATATATACATATATATATATGATATACATAACATATATTAAATGTGTATTTTTTTCTTTCTTTTGATATATAGGAAGAAAACAAGATAAGGACTGGGTACTTTCATGTGTACTTACTATACTTTATTGTGTCTGTCTTTCTCTCACAAACATGTTCCTCCTCTTTCTTGTTTTATGTTTTTCATTTGATTTTTTTAAAGATATTTGATTGTACTTAATGATCTGTTTCACAGATATCTTAGATACATTTGGAAAATACATAAGAGGTTATGTCTAGGGATGGGTTGATTTTTGGATAGATGGATAGGTTTAGTTGTCTGGATGGATTGAGATTGGATGAATGAGTAGATTGAAGAATGATAGATAAATACAGTTGCATGGATGGATATAGTTGGAAAGGTAGATAAAGATTAGACGTATGAGTGAGTTGTTGGATGGATGGATGGATGGATGGATGGATGGATGGAATATTAGATACTCATTTGACAAAGTTATGCAAATTATCTTTGAAATGATGACCTTTACAAGGTTATTCTAAGAGGAGGAGTGGCTGTCAGCTATAAGATAGAGCAGTTCTTATAAGGAAAAAAAGTGGGGTGAGGGGAATCTCAATTGAACTAGTCTTTGGTGGACAGAGCTAATTAAATAAGTGACTTAGCACTCACATCATCTGGTTAATGCACCTCCAAATGGGTCGCAGATACTTTGGTCATTATGCTGATGGAAAGCTTTTGGGGAGAGAAAACACATCTCGCTGTGATCACCCTGTAATTATCCATTTCTTGCCTAGCTCTTGCTGGTTTTGATAAGATCCATTAGTAAAATAATTACAGGCTCTGCTAATGTACGATGACTCTATAGACATACACTTCTTTCAGTCACTGTGTGAGACTGAAATACGTTAACCTCTTAAATGTCTTCAATCATAGGCTGTGTCAGACCTGTATTAACAGCCTGGCTCCACTGCCCAGACTCCCGCTAGCTGTACACATGTGTGGAAACAAAGCCTTTTCATTTTGCTCATGGCTATTTCCCTTTTTAGGAACATGAAATGAAATACTGTGTTTATCCTGTAGGTCCCAAAAATGTACGTCAGCTGCAATGCCTAAAATAGACATGGTTTGTTGCCCTAAATATTTGATTCTTGAGTCAAGATATTATAATTGCTAGACATCTTTCTTTAAATAGAAGGGGAAGCATAACAGCACATTTGAAATAAATGCCGTATGAAGATGGAGCATGGTTCCTTTTTTAAAAAATATAATATCCCCAGGCTTAACGAATGCACTAAATACTGATGAGCTTTTTAACTGATCTGAAGTTCTGTAGCTTTAAGGAGGTAGGATTAAACGGTCTCAAGGTTAGGAAAGGGTTTGTAGCAGTTGAAGGGATTTTGGTTACAAAAAGACATAAACTTCACACACCCTTTTGTAAAACCATTGTTGATCAGCCAAGGCTCCAGCCCTAAGACTGCTGTTTCTGTTAGCCTGATAAGTATATTCAGATTAAAGAATGAAGGCAAATACACTTACCACAGACAAAGCTTTGCACAGGGCAACCTAACTGCCTTTGAATTTCTTGATAACTTATCTTCCACAAGCAGAGCAGAACTGAAGCTGC